AAACATCCTGCAAAAAAGATTAATTAACTTTAGGTACCCATATTTGCTTGGGTCCTTTACTGTTAGTGATTTTTGGTAACCAAACCCACCTTGATCTTATTGGATTAAGATGAGGCGATTTGTAACCATTAGAGACACAATAATCATAACTCACTTTAGAAAGCATTTTTGGCGCCGGGTATTGAAAATTATTTTTATATTTTGGCACCTGGGAAGAGAATGGTTGCTTTGGTCTATAAAAAATATTACATCTATTGCACAACCAATCTTTTTGAGTGGGATGAAATCTCCCAACTTTATTTCTAGAAAAGCTTCCCTCTTTTCTATGAAATCTTTTTGCACTTGACTCTTTGGCATATCTTTGCTTGAAGAATTTTTGTTGTTTTGCCGTATCATAGAATTGTTTTGGCCTTTCAACATTCAATTTTGCTTTTGTTTGATAGCCAAGTCCTTGTCTCATTGTGCTATTCTTACTTTTAACAAATTTTACCACTCGAACTTTATTATTTAAAGTAGTAGTAGAATTAGTCAGATTTTGAGGGGTTTGAGAACATGTGGAGTCATAACCAATTCCGTTTCTATCTCCTGATGGCTTTTGCATGCTCATCATTTTATCTATAATTTTAGACGAATTAGTGAATGTAGCAATAGTAGCTCTAAGATTATGTTCTCTAACCTCTCTAGCTTTACACTCTTCTTGAAGATGAATATTTTCATTCTTCAATTTACTCACTTCAAGTAAAGCATCTTGCAATTTTTTATTCATTTCTTCTTTTTCAAGAATTAGAATATTATTGCGCTCCTTGAGTTGAGGATGAGTGAGCATAATCTCTTGACATTTTCGCATTAGATTGTCAATAGATTCACGAGAAAAAGAAGAATTAACAGAATTGAAAGAATTAGATGTTACCTCTTCTTCCTCTGCTTCAAGAGCCATAAGACAATCTTCACTTGTACTCAACTCAATTGACTTGCATATTAGCGTCGTATCATCATCCGAACATGAACTTTCATCGCTTGATGATGAATCCTCCGAATCATCATTTTCGCTTGGTTCGTTGCTAACGAGAGCTTTTCTTTTGTCGCGCTTGAACCTTTTGCTTACGGATTTGTTCGGCGTAGATTCAACATTTTTGCCTTGATACTTGCTAACGATCGGATACGGACAATTTATTTTAAAATGTCCGGGTTTGCGGCAATTGTAGCACAAATCCTTATTTTCTTCGACTTTTTCTTCTTGTGTTATGCGAGAGATGAATTTTCCACGAGCAGAATTTTTGTTGTCTCATTTTCGTATAAACCTTTTAAATCTTTTCACAAAAAGAGCAAATTGTTCGTCAGTCATAAAATCAACATTATTTTCTACTGACCTGGAGGTTGATGGTTGTTCGGCCATTAGAGCAGCACTTCGAGCTTCATGAACATCATCATCTTTGGCCTTCATTTCGAACTCATATGCTTTTAGATCACTAAATAATTTGTCTGTTGACAACATTCTTAGATCCCGGTGATCGCGCATAGCCGTAACCTTCATATCCCATGCAGATGGTAAGCCTCGTAAGATTTTGAGATTAATTTCTTTTTGGCTAATATTTTTGCCAAGATCACTAATCTCTCCAAGAACTTTGATCATTCGAGCTTCCATATCTGCAACACTTTCATTTGAGAGCATTTTGAAATCTTCAAACTTCTTCATGGCGATTGTGAGCTTATTGTCTTTTTCTTGTTCATCTCCTTCGCCAATCTTGATGAGAGTTTCCCATATTTCTTTGGCAGTGGCACACTTTCGGATCTTCGGAAATATTGTATCATCTACGGCTTTGAATAGAATATCCTTGGCAATATTGTCAAGATTATTCCGCGTTCTATCATCCGATGTCCATTCCGGTTTAGGCTTTTGTACGTACTGTGGAGCATCCGGGGATATAACAAACGCCGTATTGATTTTTAATATTTCTATAGGGCCAGTGGAAATAACTTCCCACATTTCATCGTGTAAGGCCGATAAGTGTACTTGCATACGAACTTTTCAATCATCAAATTTATCAAGTGAGAATAATAGATTTTGTGCTAAATCTTTCTTCATCATCATCACGAGAGATATGAAAGATTAATCCAATTCACACACTTTGTAGAATGGATCTGTCTAGCAGTCAGAAACGGTTGACCCAGTTAGGCACGTGCTTAGATAGCAATTTGGCCTAAATAGACAGCCTGCTCTGATACCAATTGTTGGTATCAGTTAGAGACAAATTCTGACTCGGATAGGCACCCGCTCTGATACCAATTGTTGGTCCCAAAAGAGGTAAGGTGAAAGTCTAGAGGGGGGGGGGGGGTGGGGGGTGAATAGACTTTCAAACTTTTTCGCACAGCACAACAATTGCTAAGCCAGAGATAAACCAAAACTCTTAACTAGATTGTTAGAGTATGGTGCACAGCGGAAATAAATAAACATAAAGTGTGTGTGAGATTGTGTGAGCAGTATATCTCGTGTAGAGCGAATATGTAAAGAGCAGTAAGTAAAGAAAGCAGTAAAGAACACAAGACAATTATAGTGGTTAGCGAGGTGGTGTAATCCTCCTACTCCACTTGCTCTTATCTCCAAGAGCAATTCACTATATCTACCACTTCTTGGTTCCAAGATACAATGAATTTCCGTGATCTAGTGCTTTGATCACAGAGCCCGCACTAATCACGCCCAGTGACACCACACTGCTGCTTCGAGTTACACGTCACCGCGCTACTATCCCAGGATTTCACGACTCCACGTTACTTTCCCCTCGTCTTCCACACTCCGGTAGAAACGTATCCCGTGATCTAGTGCTTTGATCACAAAGCCCGCACTAATCACGCCCAGTGCCTCCGACACTGCTGCTTCGGATCACACAGCTCCGTGTGACAATCCAGGATTTCACAGCTCCGTGCTACTTTCCTCCCTTCTCTTGTTTTGCTCCAAAACAAGTGTTGTCTTGCTTCCAACTTCTGAGACTCTGTAGATGATCTTCAATGATGCGCAGGTCTCTTTGATGAAGATAAACACTCTGGAATGATTTCTCTTGATAGCTCTGAGTGTTTTCTCTCTTTGAATTTATCAAGTAAAGCACTTGATATTTTGCTCTGCTTTTTGAACTCTCTGAATATTTTCTTTGAAGCTCTCTGAGTTCTTTTTCTTTTCTCACTTCTCACTTGAAGATTTTTGGTATGCTCTGTACCAAATGAGATTTTTGCTCTATGCTCTTTCAAGCTTAATTGCTCTATTCGATCTCCTTGATGAGTTTCGAATTTTCTGCTCTTGCTCTCTTGTATGCTCTATATTTCCCCATCTTCAAGTCTTCATATCTTCATCATTTTATAGCTGGTAATGAGAATCTGTCCGTTGGAAAGAGACGCTCTCATTTTTGAAATCTTTTATCTTTTTGTCAGAGATCTTATCTTATCTTCTGCAAAGATGTCAAAAAGGATAAGCTAGCCGTTGTTAGAGCTTCATCTCCATGTAAATGGGTTCCCAAACTTCATCTGATATTTCCTCTGGTTTTACGTTGAGTGGGAATATCTGGGTGTAGAACGGCTTCTCTGATTAGCTCTGGAGTGGTTTTTGTATCTTTGGGATTTAAAAATATTCATCAATTTAATCCCATACTAGTTAAACCTAGTATTTTTCCTTGTGAGAATATTTTCACTGTAAGTTCATCTTCATCTTCTTCATTCTCACGTCTGGGTGTTCTCAGAGTTCAAACTGGCTTTGTTCATCTTCATCTTCTTCAATTTCTCACGTCTGGGTGTTCTCAGACTTCAAACTGGCTTTGAACTTCCACCCAGTTTGAATTTCTCCTTTGTAATTGACACCCAATTTGAATTTCTCCATTGTAATTGGCTCCCAATTGACTTTTGGCTCCCAAACTGCTCCTGGTGCTTTCAATTGCACTGCTCCTGGTGCTTTCAATTGCTTCCCAATTTGAATTGTTGACTTTGACTTTGAAATTGGCTCCCAGACTTCTCCATGTCTTCTTTGAATCGGTCCCCAACTTGAAATTGCATCCCATACTACAACCTCAAAATTGCATCCCATACTACAACCTCAACCTCAATTGGCTCCCAATTTCAATTCTACATTGGCTCCCATCTTGAATTGATTCCCATGTGAAACTTGCTCCCAATTTCAATTGAGAAACTTGCTCCCAATTTCAATTCATTTCAATTCTACATTGGCTCCCATGTGAAACTTGCTCCCAATTGCTCAATTTCTCTGAAACTGGCTCCCAATTTCAATTGATTTGAATTTCTAACTGAACTGGCTCCCAATTTCAATTGCTATGAAATCGGCTCCCAAGTGCAATTGCATCTCAATTGCCACCCAAGTGAAATTGTTTCCCAATTCCCACTTGTAATCGGCGGATTAATTTAATTTGACTTCTCAAATTTTACCTTGTAAAATTGTTAATGGTGAGTTTCGAACCTGAGCCATTTCACATAATATATCAAGCATCATCCACTTCGTCCATACAGCTTTTGATTAAATCTCCAATCACATTTGATGTAATCCTTTCTTTCCATAGATGCTTGATCTCCAAGTCAATTTCATGCATTCTTCCAATATTAATTTTCTTCACGAAAATTCTTCTGGGATATCTTCTTTGAGTAGCATTGACGTGATTTCATATCATTCATCTTCTTCTTCAATTTGTCATTTTCTCCAGAAAAATTCTTAATTTTAGGCTTTATATCTTCTTCTTCTATTTTCATGCATCTTCCTCTGTTTTTCTCTTTTCCAACTTAAATAATTTCCCGATCATGGTCTAAGACTCTACTAGACCTATAAAACAAAATTGGGGGATCTACAAATAAAAATTTGGCATATCAAAACCATTACACTTTATTCCTAACAAAGTGTGTCTCAAAGGGAGTATTTTGCATTCCGTGTTCATGAAAGGTTAACTGAGATATCAACTTTACTATACGCTATGAGGTTATTTCAACAATTCTTGGTGGATGCGTATACAATGGTTGAATCTGCTAGGTTGTGTTATATAAGGGCAAATCAAAAAGGTTTGAGATGTGACGCATACAAAGGTCTCTCAGATGCCTTGACTAGAGGTGAGGTTCAACCCAGCAGTCAAGGCAAAAGAATAACATTACCATCAAGTTTTACCGGCGGTGCAAGGTACATGATACAAAACTATCAAGATGCTATGGCTATTTGTCGGTTTATAGGTTATCCAAACCTATTCATTACATTTACATGCAATCCTAAATGGCTTGAGATTCAACGATTTTTGGAGAAAAGGAACTTGAAGGTAGAAGATAGGCCAGACATAGTTTGTCGTGTGTTCAAGATGAAATTGGATGCAATGATCAAAGACATTAAAAAAGGAGCCGTGTCAAAGCTGGTATTAATTCTTTAACATTTTTATATTTTTTTTTTGGAGATATATTACAATTTAAAAAAAAATATTTTAATCATTCTTTTTGTTTGCAGTTATTTACACAATAGAATTTCAAAAGAGGGGTTTACCACATGCCCACATATTGTTATTCCTGGAAAAGCATGATGGTTTCTCTAGCCCAACATTCATGGATTCGATTATTTCTGCTGAGATTTCGGATAAGCGTACCGACTTCCTATTTTATACGGCAGTTGAGGAATTCATGGTTCATGGACCTTGCGGTCATGCTAAAAGGAATTCACCATGTATGGTAAATGACAAGTGTTCAAAACATTTCCCTAAGAGATTCATTGATGCATCCCAATTTGATCAAGATGGTTACCCGTTGTACCGTAGACGAAATGACAGCAGGGTGGTAAAAAAGAGCGGTATAGAGCTGGATAACAGTTATATTGTACCTCATAATCGATACTTACTATTGAAGTACAAGGCTCACATTAATGTTGAATGGTGCAACCAATCACGGTCAATCAAGTATTTGTTCAAGTACGTTAACAAAGGTAATGACCGTGTCACTGCTGAGTTTTATAAGACCACGACTGATGATATTGGTAATGAAGTTGTAAATGAAATCAACATGTACTACGATTGCCGATACATTTCTGCGTGTGAAGCAATGTGGCGCTTATTTAGTTTCGAGGTGCAATATAGAACCCCTCCAGTTGAGAGGCTAAGCTTTCACCTCCCGGATTGCCAATCTGTTGTTTTCCAAGACGATGATAGCATTGATCGCGTTTTGAATAGGGAATCAGTTGCAGAAAGTATGTTCAATGGATGGTTCATAGCAAATCAAAAGTATGCAGAAGCGAGGCAGTTAAGTTACATCGAGATGCCTACAAAATTTGTTTGGAAAAAGGACATTCGTGAATGGCATCCAAGAAAGAAGGGCTTTTCCATTGGGCGGATATTATATGTTCCACCAGCCTCAGGTGAATTATATTATTTAAGGTGCTTATTGAACATCGTGCGTGGTCCTTCCAGTTTTAAAGATATTAGGACACACAATGGAGTTGAGTATAGTACATTATTTAGGGATGCAAGTTATGCCCACGGTCTGTTGGACGATGATAAAGAGTACATTGATGCTATTGTAGAAGAAAGTTTTTGGTTCACTGCTCACTCATTAAGGTAGTTGTTTGTAGTGCTATTAACATCGAGCTCCATGATTAGACCAGAATATGTTTGGAATCAGGTGTGGCAACATCTGTGTGAGGATGCTCAACATTGTCAAAGAAGAATATTACAACAACCAGGTTTGAACTATTATACATATACACTTATTCAATTAGTATAAATATTGTTGATTTCTCAAGTCTGACTTTTCTTTTTTAAATTACAACAGACTTGTGTTTAACTGACGATGAGAAGAAAAACTATGGGCTACTTGAGTTGGACAAATTGTTGGAACAACAGAATAGATCTTTAAAGGATTACCACCCCATGCCTATTCCAGAGATGGCTAACTCTAGATTGGTCCAGAATAGATTGTTGTTTGAAGAGTTATCATATGATCGTGAGTTTCTACAACAAGAAGCTCTTGAGTTGTGTGAAAAATTGACAGAAGAGCAGAGAATTATTTATGATACTGTTTTAGACGATATTTCAAGTAAACGGGGTGGTTTGTTTTTTGTATATGGGTATGGTGGCACTGGTAAAACATTCATGTGGCGAGCATTATCTTCTGAACTACGGTCTAAAGGCCAGATTGTTTTAAATGTGGCATCAAGTGGTATAGCTTCGTTGTTGTTGCCTGGTGGACGAACTGCACACTCAAGGTTTGCAATACCAATATCAATAAATGAAGACTCGACATGTAACATTAAACAAGGTAGCAGTTAGCTGATTTATTGATACAAACAAGTTTAATAATTTGGGATGAAGCTCCGATGATGCACAAGTATTGCTTTGAAGCACTAGATCGGACCATGAGGGATTTGTTACGGTTTGTAGACCCTAACAGTTCCAACAAGACTTTTGGTGGTAAAACAGTAGTACTAGGTGGGGATTTCCGTCAAATTTTACCCGTAGTCCCTAAAGGTACTAGACAAGACATAGT